AAGTTGTATTATTTTTACGGTATAGAATAATATTTAATACAAAAGTTTAATCACACATCTCCATGAGTCAAAGTGTAACGATACTTCACTGAACATACTAAGATACTTTATTTTTTTATACGAACGAAAAGTCGAAAAGATAACAGGAAGGCAACATCCGTTCGTAACAGTTAATGCAGATGTTAGAAACTTTTTGAATAATATGTTTTTGAAAACGTGTTTATATTTAGATAATATTAATTGTATATTTATCCAATTTTGTTTATTCACAGCAATTTTTTTTATGATCAGCAAACAATAATATTTATTTAAAAAAATTAAATAATATTGATATACATATTCAATGTTATATAAATGAAAAGATATCGATATCCAATAAATTACTTTAGTTTTTAATGAAAATCCGACGAAATCAACGAAATAAACTATATTGGACCATAATGATCCATATCAATTGACTAGATATCAAAATAAAGTTTTGAAAATTATATAAATGAATTATTACGATGTAATATATATAGACAAAAGTTAGTCACGCGAGAATTTTTATTGAAATTTTTATTGAAATAAATTTCTCTAAAGGCATTATTATTATCACGCTTTAAAGCAAGAACCTTGTATGTTGACATATCACGCGCTTTGTGTAAATTCAAGACAAGCTAGCTTTATCTCCAAGACATAAAATAGAATTTATTTCAAAAAGTTAAAAATTTAAAGCGATTATCTGTGACACAATTTTACAAACTTGTTCCTCACAGAAAAGATATTACTTGCAAAGAGAATAGTGAGGATCTCGATGAGCACATTTGAATAAGAGAAGTTTTTTTTCCTTGTGGATTTTTTTCTTCAAGATAGAATTTCATTGGAATATTATGTTATTGGAAAATATTAAATATAATGTTTGTCGAAAATATTTGTCTAAAATATTTGTAGAAAATCATTCCACATATGCATATTTTATATTTTTATATTCTGCGTTTATATCTACTTTATATGTATATTATTAAAGTTTTTTTATTAATAATCACAGAAAACTGCTATCTCATAATATATATCTTTAGGATGAATAAATAATGTATAAAATAAAAAAATCGTTACCTATTATTATTATAAAGCAAAGTTACGATAATAAAAATGTGTTTTAAACTCTAATTTAAATATTCAATATTTTTATAACAAAAAAAAAGATATAGAACATACTCTATAAAATAAAAAAAAAATCTATTTCAAGATGAATCGAATGACATTTGTTTATTACAACAACTTCTATTATACATTGAAATAAAATACGATATTTCAGTACTAAATAAAGGCAAACACTTTTAAATATCAAAGTAAAAATCAAACATAAAAGTAAAATACCAAATGTGCAGCAAATAAATTTAAAAAAAAACATAAATTCTCATTTATTTTAAATCTCTATAAAAATATATTTCAATATTCGTTAATGTATTTTTTTTATGTGATATAAATGCTATTTCCTTTTTTGAATTATTTTAAAAATTAGATTCGTAAATTAAGTTCAAGGACAAATAACACGGTAAGAGTTTATTCTACCTTTTAAAGAACGCAAATACACCTAGGGTCTTTCGGGAGTTTGCGAACAAATAAAAAGTAGGGCGTGAATCGTAAAAGCAGAGCACGCCGTCTCGTATATCTCGCCTTGTACATGTCCGCATCGAGATTTAAAACCGTCGAAGCATTCTGGGGATTTCTTGGTGCTTTCGCTCTCCAACGAAGCGATGGAGCACCGAGGTAAAAGTGTCGAAGGCTTCTGTTCGATAAATTCGTTTCCATTTCCACAACAGCTCTCGATACAACTGATCCTTATTTATTATCTAATAATATCCATAAAAAAACAAATGTGCAACATTAATAATAATTTTATTTTGTTTATTTTTTAGCTGTTTGTATTTTTATTTAGTTTTTAAGTATATTTTTTCTCTTTTATGAGGAATAATATACATTATTCGCATGATGCACATAATTTAGAAACTCAATTGCAAAGCTTGCAGCAACTGTAATATGAAGGATAATTAAATATTGTGTACACAATCTTTTATGGGCTCGTCACGTTCCATGAAAAAGTTGAAACATACTAAATATGTATTTAGCTGAATGGAAATTCAATTATAAGAATTGTAAAGTTGAAAACTTTAGAGGAATTAAATTCGATGGCTACGAAATAATATATATGTATAATAATAAAAGATGTCATTATCGTTCCGAGGTGTATTACTTCGTAATATTTTAAATAGGGAACAAAATTTGTATAGCAGTCGATTGAAAGGAACGACTTTTAAAGAACCATTTATCCCTATAGCTTACAGCATTTAAGTTCAATTGAAAAAGAAAAGAGCGTCGGCTGTGCGAATTCAATTAATTGTAATGAACGAAGAATGCGCCACTTCTTGATAACCTCATGTTGAATTTAATTGACGAGATCCATATGTAGGCATATGTATGTAGGATGATCTCTTCAAACTGTCCCTATTGAAATGTTTCTGCACCAATTGTTACGCGACAAAGCGTTTCTACTTAATTACACAGTTGAAAATAGCAAGAAATTAATGTTATATGCAGTTGATCAATTCTCAACTTGTTTGACTACAAAAACAAATCATTATCGTATTTGATTAATATTTATGAGCTTTAATAATTTCAAACTTAATAATTTCATAATTTATTCATTTTTCAGAAAATAAATATTTTCCTGATCGATATTAAAAGATTAGTTATTTATTGTATATTTTCTATCGATCGATCAATTTGTAAATATGTTTAATTAATGAGTTTGGCATCTTCAATGGGCATAATGGAGATAGAATATGCGATGCTAATTTAACAGGGTTTCGAGTTTAAATGAATTATAACATCGATGTGTGTGACAATATCGTATGATTGATTATATTTTCATAAATAGCTTTTCAGCAAAAATATTATTAACAGTGCGTGTCGAACAATACGTTAATTCTCAGTTTACGAGAAAATCTATCATTGGCATACAAGGACAGAACTTAAAATAGAATATATTGATAACATCAAGATAATGCATTAGATAAAAATTCGACATCTAACGTTACACTAATAAAAGCACTAAAAAATATGGCAAAGATCTTTTAATTCTGCAAAAATGTACGTTTAATCGACGATTTCTCTATCTTTCTCTTTTTAATTATATTGAATCGCGGCATATATAAATGTTCCTCTTTCGAAAGAGGATGATATTTCACATCATCCTCTCTCAAATATTGAATAATTTATAAAAATCTATTAATACTAATTGACTTTTATAAAATTATTTAAATATAAAATAATTTATAAAAGTTAATTAGTAGTAAGTTACACAATTTCAAGGAGTATTATAGTTAATTTATATGCATACTTCAATATATTTATAATATATTTATATCCGATTAATATCTAAAAATCTCATACTGATTTTGAAGAATCACGAAATAATACATAAAAAAGAAAGAAATGTAACATATAAACAAAAATAAATACAAATGAGTGAAAAATGTAAAAGTAAACGAATGAAGATAATAAATTGCATACCATTTATAGCAGCATTATAATTGTAAGTTATAAATAGTTTAGACGGGCAGAGAATAAATCTGAGTTATAAGTCGATGATCGTCGAATAACCTACGCCTTTGTGACAGATATTTAGTCGCAGCTGGTAGCGTATAGTATTTTGACATGAAGGTTAGTCAATTGAATGATAAATCAAGTATTGGCTTCCGATACAAACGAAATTGCGTTTCAGCAATCTCTGCTTTTCAACCTATAGTCTTTCAGCAGATTAAATAAACGGCGAAATCGATCATTTTTAACAGTAGTGTAATATGAGAACTACGCATTAGAAGCTTCAATTAAATCTTCTTCGTGTAAATTTTCCGTTAATAAGAAATACATCAACACGAATTCATTTGTGTATGTTAATAGTTACTGTATTTTGTGTTTAAAAAATTTAATTTTTGTTTGACATTAATATATGTTGGTAAAAATAATGATAATAAGTAAATAATGAACTATTGATTCAGAAAAATTTTAGTAAATAAATAAAAATTCTTTTGTAAAATTATAGCTATTTTCCTATTACTTTTTTTTATATCAATTCGGAGATATAATTTTTTTAAAACTTTTTCTTTTTTTTTTTCAAAACTTCAATTTAGATTCCTGAACAGAAATGGTAGACATTTATATTATCATATTATATTAATCTTGAAAAAAAAAATAAAGATTTTTCAAAATGTTTAAGCTTCAAATACTTTTTATTAGATCTTTTAATTTTTTCTTTTTCGATCATCTATTTTTCCTATTTGCTTTTATAAAAAGATATGTTTTTTCAATACTTCAATATTATGTTTGGAGTCAGATGTAATCTTGATTTTTGAACTAATTGGGTCAACCTTAAAGTAAAGGTCCAGATAATGATTTATTGACGATTTGTAGACTTGACAGACAAATGAGCTGTTGTCAATATGTCGAATAAACCATTTATTTTTGAAAAGAATGTAACGAGAACTCATCAAGCTCTTATTGAAACAAGCCATCTACATTATTTAGAACACATTCTTTATTCTTATCTTTTTAGAATCTTATCTTTTTAGAATTTAGAAATTTTATTGTTATTTTTTGTTTTATTCTTATCTTTCGAAAGTGTAGGAATTTAAAAAATATTTGAGCCTTATCTCTCTAGAATTTAGGAAGCTTTTCACAAATAAGTCGGTTCGAGTTTTAAAACTTTAATTTCACGATAAGGAGCAGACGAAATCTACGAAATTTACGAAATCTATTAATACTTAATGAGATATCGATATATCATTCTCAGATCGATTGATGGGTAACAAATTACGAGTATAGAGCATATCTATTTATTTTGCGGCACAGGAATGAGCAGGAAAATGATACTGAATTTTATTCGGGCCGTAAGCATGCGTGACAGGTCGGATTACCGGATGGAATTCGACGAAGGTGGAAACGGGAGGCAAACGGAAGGAACTTGCACACACGACGCCTGACTCGTTTTTCTCACTTGACTCTCGCATCTCCTTCCCCAATCTTACACATCGTTACCCACTCTCGTTCCGTGTCACACCGATGCGATGCAATGCGATCTTTGTGCGCGTATACGGGCATTATTTTCCCTGTTCGGTAAGTTTCATTCGCGCAGCCGCGGGAAGAATGCATGCACGTACAAGATGCACGCGACCAACACGTTCAAAAGTAACCTCCGCCCACTGCCGTTCATCCAATCGCATCGCGCTTTCTCTCTCGCGCAGCACCTCCTTGCACTCTAACTTGCAGATTCTCTCTCTCTCTCTCTCTCTCTCTCTCTCTCTCTCTCTCTCTCACTCTCTCTCTCTCGATCTCTCTCCCACATTCTCACTCTGCCTGATGTGATTCTCATTACTCACTTGCCGATAATTTCGCAGAGCTCGTAAACATCGTCGAAGAGAACCTCGTCGTCCGCCATAGTGACGACGAGGAAGAGGAGGAGGTCGAAGGAGTCGACCAAGCTAGGAACCTGTACGCGTCAGGTGATGCGTCGCGGTTACGTGAATGCGTGATAATTCGGAGCGCCTTTTATAAGTACGCGCCTTTTTCTGTCGCTCCGGTCGTTTCCTAACCAACAACGTCGTCGTCGTTGTTGTGATCGACGTCGTCGTTATTGTCGTCGTCGTCGTCGTCGTCGTCGTCGTCGTCGTCGTTGTCGTCGTCGCCGCCGTCGTCGACGTCTTCGTCGTCCTCGTCGTCGTTGTCGTTGTGTCGTTGTATCCGTGTCGTATGGAGTACACGCGGCGTGAACGCAGCCACGTATCGAGGATTCACGGCCGCATCACTGTCGCGCCCGTCCCTCTCTCTTGCACCACCTTCACCGCCGGCCCGTCGCTCTCTCGCCTTTACGCACACGTCACGCACATACGCACGCACACACAGCCGCGGATAATACACTCGTGTGTCAGCACACCACCGACCGCCGTCGCACTGACACTCTGTCGGCGGACACGAGCCAACACTGTACCACTGCAGGGGTGCTCCGATTCGTGATTCGTACGTGTGGCGCACAGCTCTGCCTTTGCGCGGAGCCAGACAATATCGGGCGAGCACACCGTCGACACCCGCCTTGTCACCTTTCGTGCCGCGCGCTCAGCTTGGCTCAGCTCTGCTCGCTTAGACTTAGCTCGCTCTCGCTCTCGTCTCGTCTCGTCTCGTTTCGTCTCGTCTCGTCTCGTCTCGTCTCGTCTTGCCTCGCCTCGCCTTGCCTTGCCGGCAGTGTCAGCACGAGAAAACAGACGGTAGCGATACAATATTATACGTCAGGCTCGTAGATAGGCCCCGTCGTGACCTGCCTCAAAAGCACAGTGGGGTACCGGATTCGTTCAAGTCCGGTTACGTGATATACGGTGTCCCTTTTTGTCTCCGGAGAGCCGCACGAGTAACGCACGTTACGAGAAGTCGTTAACGTACGCACAACGCACGGACGGAGGAGACGGCGAATAACGATGACACTGCACGCGTTATCCCGTCTGTCAAAGGCCGGGGCAGTGGATTCTCGCTCGCTCCGAAGCAAGACTGGTTGCATAAAACGCGGCGGGCGACTGCGCCGACCGCTACCAGTCCTTCACCTCCCGACACCCCGCTGCGATCATAACTGTAGCATGGTGGGGCGGGCGTGGCGCCTGCCTCTCTTTTGCTTTGCTTCGCAACCTTTTGCGCTTTAACACGTCCTTTACTTCCTTCATTGCTCGCTCGCCGAGTATGCGTCACGCGCTTCCAGGACGGTGATACTCGCCAGACCCTCCACGAATCAGATATTACCGTCCTTTCGATGGCACGATCGATACACTCTCTCTTTCTCTCTCTCTCTCTCTCTCTCTCTCTCTCTCTCTCTCTCTCTCTCTCTCTCT